ATATGGAGAACACTTTGCAAAACATCGATTTAAAATAATCTCAAAACAATGGTCACATTTAACAAAATGCCCTCACCAGTCAATGATCAACAGAAACTGAGCCATTTTCGCTTTTTTAATTGTGTTGTAAATTCATTTAGATAATCCCATTTTCAATCTGGTTAATTGCGACCATATACAATATGAAAACTGCTTCCCGGCTTCCTCATCCAAATGTTATTAATTGGCATAGAAATGTTTAAAAAAAGGACTAGTTATTGTAATAGATTATTAAATTTAAGTTCCTAATATGTTAAAATAAATTCTCATTTACCGTAATGAGCTCTAACATTGTAATTGTAAACTCATTTAAAAAATCGAAAACACTCAGTCGATTCATTCAAAACTGTAACCACAAATCGCTTAGTATAAAAACAAACTAAATATTAAAAAATGGGCAGCCTGTAGAAACCTAAAACATATAGGCAAAATTACAAGCGGAAGGGTGTAAACAGCATCATCAATATGTATTACTAGCTAAAAGAGGGTGTATGGATATACATATACAACAACCTGTATATATATCTCTAACAAATATGGACGATTAATTTATTGATATCAAACGCCGTACGCCACCAAAGCAAACCGGTAGGCATCGAAGCATAGCATTTTTGCAAATAGAATTGGGAAAACGATAATTTTTTAACCCATCTTTATCCATTGATATATCTAAGAATTTTATTGACAATGGAGCCACTTTACAGCATAAAATTATATAATTCTAGTTCAATCTTCAGTCATCTAAAAGATACTTTTTTTTGTTCTCAGATTTTGTACCTTTGAAGTATCTGTGCACATATTCATCAATGAAACTTACATCATATCAATTAAAACACCAAAAATGGGTTATAAAAAAAATAAACTTTTCCCAAATAGAGTATAAGCTGTTTTTAGGCATACATTTGCTTTAGGTAAGTACGGCATCTTTAGTGCGCTCTATGGCACTGTTTACGTCATGTTGACGTATCGCACCTTCATTTACTTTTTCACTTTTGTCTCGATGAACAAATGCGGATGATTTTCTTTTAATTCATTTGTAATATTAAATTTCAAAAAATACATAACCGCGGATTTTAGAATCATATGAGTGTTTTACAAGGCGATATAGCTACTTGTTAACAGTCTAATTCACAAACGAATTGGAATTTAAAATGGTAAAAATTGTCATTGGCAATAGGCTGTTGTCAGTAGTTACTTGTGAAATAGCGGAAAAAAAATATTCTGTAATTACACAGAAAAATCCACCATTACATGAAAGGGCTAAATAATCGTGACAATTTTTTTAGGACAATTTTAAACCATCTGAAATACATTTCTGGCCTTAAAAATGCTTGTTATTTTTTAACTTAAAACTTCCAAATATTTTTACATCATTAATTACATCATTTTGATTGATTTCTTGCTGAAAAAATTGCTAAATAATAATATTAGTTATTATTAGACCATCCATAAAGCAATAAACCTCAAAAATGTTGTAAATATGTATAGTTCATTAGATTTCTTTTCACAAAGTTTTTAAAACTTATTTACTTTTCACATGTCTACTTTTGAGTAATGTTTAGAAATACAATTATTATTTTTTAACTTCCTATGATCATGTACCGAACCGTCAAATTCGACTTGTGGTATTAGAAAAACTGTATATAACTAACGATTTTCAAACATGCTCCAACTATGCTATGAACTTATTTAAGGAGGTCCTTTCGCCACCCCTATCGCCACCAATGTTAAATAAAAAATATTATATTATGACTAAAATTTATTTGTTTTCTAATAGTTGAAGTCCTCATTTATCTAATGTTGAACTTTTAACTATACCTTACCGTGCAAATGTTTGAGAATTTTTTTTTTAAAAATGTGAGTATTTGTACAGTGTCTTATGAGAAAATAAGACCTCAACAACAATTCTCGAATTATATTATTATTTATTGATTAGATGGAGTAGAAAAAAACTAAAAATAGGGTTTTTGAAATATTTAGGTTTTGTTTTTTACAATAAAATATATAGGTTACCTTGGAATTTATTGAGAAATTAATATTAAAAAAAAATTTGAAGTAACCTAGTTAAAAATTTTTTGTGATTTTTTAATATTAATTTCTTAATAAATTCCACGGTAACCTATATATTTTATTGTAAAAAACAAAACCTAAATATTTCAAAAACCTTATTTTTAGTTTTTTTCTACTCCATCTAATCAATAAATAATAGTAAAATTAATTATAATTCGAGGGTCCGGTAAAGGATCCTGAGGTGCGAAATTCACAAAAATTTTTTAAACACTCAAAAGTAACTAGTTTCTATAGTAAATTTTCGAAAAAAAAATTATGGATGAAGCAGTACTTTTCGAAAAAAATTGAATTAAAAATCCCAATTTTACAGGTTATAATCACAAAACAATTACTCTAAATGACAGTTTCTGACGTTTCTGTCTTAAAAATAACAAACGTTGCCAAGTTGTTAATAAAATTATAATTTTAAGGATTATTTAAATTTATAATCATAAATTTTTCGTTTGGTTTAAAAAGATAAGTACGGTAATAATCGTATATAAAATGCAAAAATTAATATATCAACCAAATTAATTTTAAAAATGCAGCTCAAAAATACTACATACAAAATTAAAAAGTGAAATTAATTAAATCACTCAACATGTAATGCATAGACAACTTTTTTTAAATTTTCTTTCACTCAAAACGAAACAACGACTTCCGGTAGCGTGGCGGCTTCGCCGCCACCAAAAAATTTTAATCCATACCTGGCTACGCCTACCGGCATAGATTCCAACGGCCTGGACACAGCTCAAATTGAAATGAAAAGTCTCACATAACACATTATAATCCAAAATCATACATTTTTCGTTTGCTTCAAAAAGATAAGTACGGTAATAATCGTATATCAAATGAAAAAAATAATATATCAACCAAATTAATTTTAAGAATGCAGCTCAATAAAACTACATACAAAATTAAAAAGTGAAATTAATTAAATCACTTAACATATAATGCCTAGACAACCATTTTAAATTTTCTTTTACTCAAAACGTCTTCCCGTAGGGTGGCGGCTTCGCCGCCACCAAAAAATTTTAATCCATACCTGGCTACGCCTACCGGCATAGACTCCAACGGCCTGGACACAGCTCAAATTGAAATGAAAAGTCTCACATAACACATTATAATCAAAAATCATACATTTTTCGTTTGCTTCAAAAAGATAAGCACGGTAATAATCGTATCTAAAATGAAAAAATTAATATATCAACCAAATTAATTTTAAAACTGCAGATCAAAAAAAAACTACATACAAAATTAAAAATAATTAAATCACTTAACATGTACCTAATACCTAGACAACTTTTTTTAAATTTTCTTTCACCCAAAACAAAACAACGACTTCCCGTAGCGTGGCGGCTTCGCCGCCACCAAAAAATTTCAACCCATCCTGGCTACGCCTACTGGCATAGACTCCAACGGCCTGGACACAGCTCAAATTGAAATGTCTCAAATAACACATTATATTTTCACCTATAACTTATTTTCTTCTCATTCAAACAGAAATCGTAAACTTGGAAATTATCAGTGATAAAAATCAATATAGTATGGCAACGTTGCAAACTCGAGGACCCTGTGTCCAGAACTGACAATTTCATGGAATCACTTTATTTTAGGTTTTATGGAAGGAAATGATTAAAAGTTAGGTTAAATCAGTCCAAATATTGCATTTTATTATAATATAAATAAAAATAGCAAATGAAACGTATCCATCCATATTTAATTTCAGTTAAAATATCATAAAAAGTAAGTTACTTCAATATATTAATGCTAAAATTATGAAATTCGCACCTCAGGATCCTTTACCAGAACCTAATTCGAAAATTGTTGTTGAAGTCTTACTTTCTCGTAAGACACTGTACAAATACTCACATTTTTAAAAAACAATTTTCTCAAAAATTTCCACGGTAAGGTATAGTTAAAAGTTCACTATTAGATAAATAAGGACTTCTACTATTAGAAAAAAATTAATTTTAGTCATAATCTAATATTTTTTATTTAACATTGGTGGCGAAAGGACCTCCTTAAGTGTTTTAAGTTAAGTAAAACTAAATTAAATTACCTAACATGTCGGCCGTTTAGGTGATTGCGTATTTTTCCAAAGGTTTTAGCCACAGTTTACGTAGAAGAATAGAAAAATTAAATTAAAGATAGAAATGTGAATAAAAAAGTGTCCATTTTAAGATCTAATTCTCTTTGTGAATTAGGATGAAGGACTTTTAATATATTTCAGAATTTTTGGCTATCCATTTTACTATCCTGTAATATCGAAATTTATTATTTTAATCCTTAAACTTTTATTCTAAAAGGACTAAAAGGTATCAATATTAAAATAAACGTTCTTTCCTCTAGTTATATAAAACTGACAGAGAAAAGTGGGAATTTTCCAAGTTTGATTATTGCTATAAAAATAACACTAAAGAAGTTACATTATATTATCTATAGGTAATATATTTCAGCAGCGCGTTTTTTATGTTAGAACAAACATATTTATTCAAAGGAATCTGCCATAAAAGCTTGTCCTATATAACTGTTTTAAATGTGTATATTTAAATACCTTGTTTATAAAATTAATTATAATGTCATATATTCAATTTCAATTGAAATTTTAAAAAACAATTTTACATATTGTAATTAGTGTTAAAACTCCAATTTTAATGCCATGTTACCTATTAATAAATACTGTTAATAATATTTCAAATTCCCACTATACATCTTTCATATTCAACGCCAATACTGAAATATGTTACAAAAGTAACTAAGTTCTTTAAAACTGAAACTCAACAAATTCCAAATTGTCCTATATATAAAAAAAACCATTTAAAATCCAAATATACGATAATTACAAACGTGTTTTTGTTTTTTGCTTTGTTTCATCCGCATATGAACATCACGCTACTTTTCTAACGATTTTACATGGTGGAATTATCCCACTCTAGTTGACTAACATTCTGATAGTCGTGTTTTCTGATACGGCTCGGCTGTTCGTCCTCCTCATCTGAAGAGTCCGGAACTCTGCACGGTCCGTCCATGTTTTCATCGTCAGAAGAGCTTTCAGAGTCAGATTGTTCGCTGTCGCTGTATTCCAATGCGTTGCCTCCCTCCAGTTTTCTTTCAGCGTTCTAGAGAAAAATTCAGGTGATAAACTGTGGATTATTGTTTTGTATACAGGTTAGGAAAAATAGTTATGTTTCATATGGTATGGAAACATCGAGTGCACGGCCATCTCTGTACCTTGTGTACAATGTCAATGTCTACATACCTACCACTAGTACGACCTTTCCTGCGTTCGCTGTTGCTTACTTTTATCAATCATTAAGTTTCAAGCTAAAGTTTAGTAATGCATGAATTGCAGTGAGATGTTGCTCTTTCTAATTAGGTAAAAACAATATTTACGTAGATTTCCCTGATTGTAGAACTAAAAATTATTTGCAAGTGACAAATAATTTATAATTCTTCAAATAACTGTTGTGTAGATAATTTAATAGCCATTATGGATTTGAAAATTAAATAAGTATTCATACAAAAATGCTAATTAATAACAAAAGTAAAATTATAAAAAAATATATAATAGACAATTCACAATAATGAAGTAAAATGAATTTTGAAAAACGTAAATTAATTAAAATGGACAAACTACTAAACCTATCGATTTATTCCCTTTAGGGCTGGTTGTACAAAGAATCAGTGGCGGCTCCTGAGTTTGAATGTAGGTGACCAAACAATTTTTACACACAAAAATCATTAGAAGAAAGGGACTAAACTGAAATTAAGGGATAAAGGTAAGAATTTAGAGTATTATTTTGCAAATATCATTCACTAGTAATAAATTAATTGCAGATTTGTCCAACTTATATTTAAAAGCAGATGAGATGGTTTGTTAGAAGCATGAAACACAACTTTATTTGTGCTACAGCACCATAAATATTTGTGATATTTTAATTAACTAATTAAATTGTAATTTGTAATTGAAATAAGCTTGCTCGTAAATAAATAAATAAATAAATTTAGTGGTCGACCGTCATGGACCACTAAAGAGAGTTTCCCCTTTTTTTTATTAAATGTCTCCGTAGAGTGCTGCCATATTGTCGCACAAATTTAAAGCTCTTAAATATTCTTGAGACACATAATATCGCGAAGTACTCCCAGTGGCGCGCATATAAATACAATTTTACGTTAGAAAATCCTCAAAACAATTTTGCTTTTCGTGAGGGGTACTGTTTGCTCTTAACTGTTTACTTTCCCGAAAACAATATATCACTATGGATGGATTATGTTGTGCAATGAAAAAGTTGAATCGTCGGTAAATAAAACTTCTAGGGTTTGCTACACTTTAAAGCAATGGTATCCATTTTTTTCCAGTATATTACATATAGTTTTGGGGCCAATGTTAATTTGTTCAGATATTTTTCTACTAGAGCAAGGTTAGCCGGTTTCTTACTTTTTTGACAATTTTGTAAACATCCAAAATTCTCAAAGTTTTTAATAATTCTTTTAATTATTGTCGAACGGTGTGGAATTGACCGATTTTCATAAGCCTCAATAAATAAATTTATTATCTCGTCCACTGAATTACCCCCAAAGCACCATTTTAAAATTTGTATCTTTTCTTCTTTAGTGTAAATTAAGAGGGCATATAAAAATAAAATTGTATGAACACCTACAGTATTTTCAAACCAAATGGCTTACCTGTAGAAGCATAGGTTACCGTGCGAGAGCCGAGCAGTAAATGAGCTGAAGACTAATCTATTGTACATGTTTACCCATTCGATTATGATGCTCTCTGACGTATTACGAATATTAGCATAGGGCAGTCTACAATTAATAGAGGTGGGCGTAACTATACCATATGCCTCATATACTTTTTTCCTAAGTGTCCTGTATGTATTTGACTTACCTCCATGGGATTGACGGTGATAGTAAGCGCCGAGTCGTCCCAAGTCATCTCACCATCTTGCGCCTCCTCGTTCGAGGTTCTCTGATGGGCTGCTCTGATTCTGATTACTCCCAAGACGATCATAAACAGCAAGAAACCAACGCAAACGACCACGATGATGGTGACCGCGTGGGAACCGCCGGAAGCGACCAAGTTCATGTGCTCGGCTGGCATGTAATCGTGGGAGACCACCGATACGGGTCGGACTTCCACGGAATGCTTGTTAATGGTGGCATGGGCCACGGTTTCTTTCGGTTGAGGGTGGATCACTGTCAACTGAAAGAAAAAATGTATTAACGAGGTGAGTAGCCATGTGAGTAACGTGAATTTGGTAGGAAAAGGTATCTATTGTAATATAACGAGTCTTCAACAAAACCCGTGTCCCATATGACCAAATATATGTCATCAGTTGGATAAAAGTAACATTAATAACTTCAGTAGTAAACCTGAAACAATGTCATTATCATATTTGACAGAACTGACACTTAATTTGTTATAAAAGTAATTAAGAACGGCCATTTTGAATATATTTCTTATACTACCAGATTACAAAGGATATGAGTATTGTTGAAGACTTTGTAGATAACATTGTGAGACTTAAAGGATGTTTTATGTCTCTATTTTTCTGTCAAAAGAAAAAGTATTGTAGCAACGTACTCTTTAAATATTTTAATAAATAGTACTTACAGTTTGAACGTATTCATTTGAAGTGAATCTTCCATTCAATTCAGAACAAGTCAGTTTGAATACTCTATTGAGGTAGTACGCAGGTTTGCGGTTGGTGTAGACAATTTGGCGTAACAGTTGTTGATAGTTGAAGACCATGTCGGATCCGGTGATAGTCACTCCATCTTTAGATATACGTGCTGCCATTCCTAATAAAAAAAACAAGATTTTAAGTTTGAGAAGAATAAATAATTGTAAATTTGACAGACTTTGATGGGTGAAGTGTCAAATTTCTGAAAGTTGCGAAAATTGTCAAATAAAACTCTCTAAAACTGAAATATCTTCAAAAAGAAAAATAATTTCAAATATCCAAGATGCAACTATTTTAAACCGAGAACACTATCAACCTGTATTGATTATTATACCATAAGGCATAATTTTAACATTGGGGTTCCTCAAAGATCATTATTGAAGATTTGAAGTTTGACAGATAAAATAACACCTTTGATGGGTAGAGTGACAGATTTGTCAAGAACTTAAAAATTGTCAAATAAATACCTTAAAACTGAAAAAAAAAAAGTAAATAAAAGATAATGAGTAATTCGATAAATTAAAGTAAACATTTTAAAATGGCTTTATTATGGATAATTTCTTGTTTTTATTAAGTTTGACACTACCTACTCATTTGAAGTCGTAATTTGCGTCTGCATGTGTTTATACACTAGAAAAATTTCAACACCCTGTAGATCAGTAACGACGTTTTTGCGGACCTATGTTTATATTAATTTTCAGTCATGAAATAAGCCAAACAATAATTACTCCCTTCCGTATGTACATGTTTAGGAACACCCTATATTTTAAAACTGGGATTCTCGGAGATCATTATTGAATATGTGACAGATATAATATTAACTTTGAAGGGTAGAATGACAGTTTTGTCGAATATGTGAAAATTGTCATATAAAACACTAAAATTGAAATCTGCAAAATTTTAATAACAGTTTTAAAGATCCCGTACTAAGACAAAAATATTAAAAAAACAGACAATCTCTATTGATTATAATTATTCCACATAGCATTATTTTAATATTGTGGGTTATTTAGGGATCAACATTGGGACCACTAACTTTCATTATGTTAATAAATGATTTACCTAAACGTTTCAGCATTTCTTCCGGTACACTGAGATTCTCGTGGTCGGGATTCAGGTTGGGGTAAATAGTCAACTGGCATTTATCTAATTTTTGTTCTCCGGTTATGTGAATATCGGCCAAAACCCTCACCCCCATCCTAAAGTCCTCGTACTTTCTTGCCATGTTGCCAGTACCGTTCAGCATAATACTAGGCGTTTGAGGTCTTAGTACCATTACGTAAGTTTGTGCGTCAGGAACCTAAACAAGAAAAGTTAAATTTAAAACGAATTTTAAATAAAATAGACGCATATTTTTTACCTTTACTTGTTTTCCATTATCACAAGTGACGGTGGTTGTCAGGCGCAAGTTTCTGCGACCTGGCGTAGGGAATTCCCTTGTGTTTGCATAGCCAACTTTGCGTACAAGGGTTTCCAAGTTTGTGCGATTGTCTCCTTCGACTGTTACTTCCGTTAGGTCGGAATTGGTCAACAATTCCATACCTGGCTGTAGAAGTTCCATAGCGGGAACCTTCAAATAATGAACATTGGTTTAAAAAACATTCGTGATTAATCACAAATAAATTGCGTTAAAATAGGTCCATTCACTTTCATTTTTAAATTTGTATTAATCGTATATTTATAAATGTAATAAACTCTTTTTTGTCATTAAGATATTTTAACTATAATAGAAAAAAGTCAGAAATGCATTAGAGTTTACATATATGAAAGAATAACTCCTTTCATAATACAAATTATGCAAATAAATGTTTAAAATACATCATTTTTACTTATTATAATAATCTTACTTAAGATCATTTCTTTCGGAGGTAAATTACAATATTTAGATTTTAAGTACCTTATTTGAATGTTTTTATAAGAGAATTCACTATGAAACTTAATGTATACGGCATTGACATCACAGCTTGGTGTGGCTTGAAATTTATTATCTCTTGTATTTTTTGCCATGCAATAAAACGGATAAGTTTGAGATAAAATATAAAATGCATCGTCACTAATATTTAAGTTGGAGCGTTAAGATCACTTGTCAGTTTGTTAGTGGATAAAGACAATTCCCGGTAAATTTTATTTGTTTTTATTTAAATCATTTATTTAATAAAAATAACTAATTTAAATAGCAATTCACACTCTTCCCATTTAAAATAAAAATACATAAGTCGGTACAAGCAGTTTTTTTTAAATATTATCGTGTTTGCATAGCATTTATTATAATTATTAAGAGCTTGTACAACTTACGTGAGATTCTTTTGAAATTGTTTAAAATTAATTTAAAATGTATCATAAATTATCAAGCTGTACCAACCCTTCTGCGACTCAGGGCTTGGGTGGCTACTGAGAGCGACGGCAGGTGGCCGATAGCCGAACGGCCTGCAGCAATTGTTCATCCTGCAAGTTATCACCGAATACCCAGTATGGTGACGCTGACCAACATCCGAATCCAAAGGTGTCATGCGATCCGTGTCGAAAGAATGCGTAGTGGCGGGAGAGCCAACGGAGCCTCCGGGATACTAGGAGTAATCAGCCGATGCTCTTTCTCAAACACGCCAAAGCGGCTTCATATGTCCTTGGCAGGAGGTTTGTCAAGGAGAGTCTAGACATCGCATTTATCCAGGAGCCCTGGATTTTCAATAGCGGCCGTATAAGTGGCTTTGGAAACTGTTCTGGTAAGTTGATAGCCGGTAACTCTCCGGACAAACCAATAGCTCGTCTCCTTTTGATTTTGATTTGCCTTCTTATCCGAAATAATATAAAATTCTTTATGTTAACAGTAACAGGTTACTGCACCCCCGATGTGGTTGCAGCCCAAATCTCGATCCCGGCGGGGAACAAGAGTAAGGATGTCGTCGTTTGCTCTGCTTACTTCCCGGGAGACACAGGTCAAGACCAACCACCTCCTCCAGCAATAGACCGAGAACTAGTTGCCTATTGCAAGAGGAACAACAAATAGCTCATCATTGGGTGCGACTCTAAAGCCCACCATAGGGACTGGGGAAGTACTGATATCAATGTGCGAGATGAATAACTATATAATTATATAATCGGTGAAGGGATAGCTTATCGTTAACAACGTAGACTCAGTACCAACTTTCATGGCGAAAAATCATGCAGAAGTTCTAGACATAATAATTAGTACGCAGTTTGTGAGTACCAATATTGTTAACTGGAGAGTATCCCTGAACCCTCATGCTCTGACCACAGATATATCAGATTTGACATGAGGATGGATCGGGTACCCACTCTTCAATTTCGTGACCCAAAAAGCACAGACTGAAGTAAAGAGGCTGGGAAACCTAATTGAGTAGCGCAGAGATTGAAGTGGCGAATGATCAAATTCAAAATGCCCTGATGACTGATTATCAGGAAAACTGTCCACTAAAGGAGATAAGAGACTAAGGGAGTTCCATGGTGGAGCAGAAATCTGGACCAAAAACAAAAAGAAGTTCGACATCTTTTCAATCAAGCTAAATAATTAGGCTGTTGGGACAAATACCGCAAGTCCCTAACGGAGTACAACAAGGCCAAACGAGAATCGTGGAGGAAGTTCTGTCAGCGTATATAAGATTTACCTGCAAGCACCAGACTTCACAAGATTCTCGCAAAAGATCCAAGACAGGAAATCAGCTCGATAAAAAGGCCCGATGACACCTATATGTACTCTGGCAAGAAAACGTTAGATTCTTTTACAGGAACACTTTCCAGGCAGTCGAATTCTGGAGAACAGGAAAGTTGTACCCCTTCCTTATAGGGAATCAACCACGCGACCCAAGAAGGAGGACTGGAACTACGTTGCACAAGTCTGTCTCTCCAAGCGCAGTGAAATGGGCGATGAATTCATTCTCCCCTTTCAAATGATCCGGAGAGGACGACATATTTCCTGCCCTTCTGCAAAAAGGATAGGAACCCTTGCCACCCCTCCTTGTGAGGTTGTTTAGAGAAAGCCTGGCGCTAGGTTGGACGATAGCGAAAGTTGTGTATATACACAAGGCTGGTAGAGTAGATACCTCCCTACCAAGCTCCTACCGTCCAATATGTCTAACATATTTTCTTTTGAAAACACTAGAGATAATTCTAGATAGGCATATTAGAAAAGGATGCCTTCGGCCATGCCCGTTAAATTCGTCCCAGAGAAAGATGCCTTCGGGCATGCCCGTTAAATTTCTTCCAGAGAAGGATGTCTTCGGGCATGACCCTTAAATTCCTGCCAATATGTCTACCAAGCAGGCAAATCGACAGATCAAAGCACTGCACAATCAAGTAGTCAAAATCGGATCGGTCATTTCCTAAAATACGGGGAGATTGCGCTGAAGACCTTTCTAGACATAGAAGGCGCGTTCAATAACGCCCTTCCTCAGTCTCTGTTCACTTGAACGAAGAGGAATCGACAAACTGACCTGTAACTGGATCAAAAGCATGCTTTCAAGCCGGAACATCATTTCATCACTGCATGGAAAGTCACTTTCAGACCTGTCAGAAGATGTCCACAAGGCGACGTACTTTCACCCGACCATTTTGGTGGATAACCTGCTGGACCTTTCTCAGCAGGGGGTGGATTTCCAATGCTATGCGGACGATCTGGTTTTCATAATTAAGGGGAAGCACGAAGAGGTGATCTTCACAAGCCCTAAATACGATCAACAGATGGTACGAGAGGAAGCAAATGTCTGTTAAATCCCGGAAAACTGTTATCGTCCCCTTCACCACGGCTTCGGTCACCTTCAGCCAAAAAAAGCACATTCAGTCGCACATTCGGCTTCGGCCAAAACCAGCCGAAGCCTAAGATTTGTATCCAGCGGCCGGCCAGCCGCCGAAACTAAACGAAAGAAATATTACGATTTACGAATGACGCCAAATTCAACGCAATGCGTGGTTCCCGCTTTCCGCATCACGAGGTAATACCAACGACTGTCGCGTAGGAAATGGGGGCAAGGAATTTAATGTTTAATTGACGTTTTAGTTTAGCCAAATCACCTGAAACCCGCAATTGGAAAGATTATCCCTCTGGGCCATCAGAAAGATATGCGGTAAAGCATGGAGGTTCAGTCTTAACTGATCAACTGGATTTACCAAACAGTGGTAAAACCCATGGTTACGTACGGCTCCCTCGTCTGGTGGGACAAGGGACTTCAACGGACGGCTAGAGCAAAGCTGGCGGAATCCAATGGCTTGCATGCCTCGCCATCATTGGGGAAATGTCAACCACACCGACGGAAGTCATGGAGACCATGCTAACCCCTCTTCACATTTTGCTGGAAAGGAAGGCCAGGTGCGTCTCCTATAGACTCCTGAAGGTGGGTAGTCTATGCAATGAAGAATTGTGATAGGACAAGACGGGGCTGATGAGTGAGAAATAACCACAACATCCTTGGCATGGTCTCAGACTCGCTAGTTATCTGAGAGCACATAGAAAAGCCATACAGCGTCCCCATTAGGAGCGGGAGTTTTTATTCAGAAGCCAAGAGTTGACATATCAATAAACCTAGGCTCTCTGACCACGATCTTCCAAGCAGAAATGATTGCTATAGAGCGAGAGTTGATTAATTTTCTCCCCGCAAAGAAGACTATAAAGATATTTTTGGATAGTCAGGTAGCCCTCAAGGACCTGCGCTCCAATCGAGTTGACTCAAAGCTGGTTTGGAACTGTATAAATACCTTTGAGTGTCTTCCATTGATGTGGAGGGCAATGAAAAAGACGACGCGCTCGCTAGAAGAGGAACCGAATCTGAGTTCATAGAACCTGTAGCATTCCTGGGCAATGCAGAGAGCACTGCCAAAGGAATTATCTCAAAATGGACGGAGGGTGCAACACTCACGAACTGGAGAGACACCCCAGGGCTAACGCATTCGAAGGCGTTTATTACCTACACTTCCATGAACGCCTCTGCTTAAATCCGGAAATGGAGTAGGAAAGATCTACGCAATTTTACGGGACCGATGACAGGACATTGTCGTCTGGGTAACCAGATGAGAAGGATAGGTTTGCAACAATCATTGGACTGTCGATTCTGCAGCGTGAAAGCGAATCTGCAGAGCACATTTTATGTACCTGCTTTTCGTTGGAATGAACTAAGTTCCAGATCTTCGGATTTACCCGACTGGAGCCCTACCGACTTTAAACAAGTATCACCCAATTTAACCATGGCTGTCATCAAAAGATGAACTATAAGTTAGACATGAGCCATAATAGATCCATCTAGGTCGCAGAGGAAGGCGATAAGATCATTCCACTCATTTTCAACTTAACCTAACCCTTCAGCGAAATGGCATCATCTTTCGTGACAAATTTTCAGGTTATACAAAAGAGGAGGCGGCAAAATTTTGTGGGAAATTAAAGAAAGTTTCAGACAGAACAGTTTGTCGCATTAAAAACACAAAGTGTGAAAACTGAAAGAGTAGGATCGAATACAAAACGAGAACATAACAAATAATTTTAGAAGATTACGTTGAACTCGCGATTAAGCAAAAAATTATTTTTTTCCCAGTGAAATCCCCCACTATGAATAAAATCAGTGCCGAGTTACATAGGGATACCGATCTGACAAAAATATCGCGTAGAGTCTTAAGACGCACAATGTGTCTAATAAATTTTTGGTTAATTTAAGAAAAACTAATAGTGCCCTATTGGAAAAACAAAAAATAGTTGTTTGTCATATAGCTTCTTAACTTTAAAATATTATCTGACTCAACTTGATTCAATGAAATATTAAATAAAACAATGGTTGAGGGTTGAGGGGTGTCAAAATTGAAATATTTTTTGATAATTTCATAATTTTAACTTCCCTCGATAAGAAAGTCACCATCCTAGATTATTTCAGATCTTCACGTTTCAGTGTCCCTATAGATTGCGAAAAACATGTTTCTCCATTTTGTCTGTCTGTTGTCATGTGTCTGCGTGTTGGCGCAAAAGCTCATAAACGGCTTAAGAGAAAAAATTATAAATTTTGTATTTAGGGTAAGGCTCCTTTCTAAGCCCAGAACAACGACGAAAAACTACTAGACTAATCCATTCATTCATAATTAAGACCTTATTTATTGCAAAAGCAGTCAGACTGTATTTTATATCGGGCAGACAGAGCTGCCGCATTAGAATGAGCGAGATGGCTGTTAATTTAAGAGGGGAAGATTTGCGCAAGTTTGCTTATCTGATGTGCAAGCACACGTTTTATGAATAAATCTGCACAGTTCGACTAAAATTAGTAATCGAGTATTTTAGAAGGAATCGTATTTAATTAAAAAGGGCCTCCCTCCTTGAATGGAAGTAATAAGAAGTGTTCTTTTGGTTTGTGTAACTGGACCATTTTAAAAGCAGCCAATCATTATTGTACAATAACGAAGATGTTGAAATGTAAGTGCTTATTTAATTTATTTACTATTTTTGTATCTATGGAATATTTAATTATTGGAGTTCCCGGTTTTTACAATTTCTATATTGAGCGAAGTTTTGGGTAAAAAACTTTACGATTTTTTTGTTTAATTTTAAAACACTTTTCGTGCAAGCACTTTTTTTAAGTTAAAACAATTTTACATAATAATAATATTATTTACATCGAATATTATTTTCTAATCAAAATTACCAAAAGGTTCCAACAAAAGAGTTTATTATCTTTATAAATATTCATTCATTCAATTAAGATATAAGAATAATTTCTTATTTTGAAAATACATATACTTTTTCAGGCGGTTTGCAAAAAAGTTTAGTGAAAATTTTACTCGCTTACCTGTAAACTTTCCTTGCATTGGTGCAAACAGCTTAGTACTTCTGGTTTTTCATTTTCACCAAGAAGAATACTTAATCCAGCTAAATATCCTTTCAAATGGTGTCTGAGCTTGTTATCAGATCCCTAAAAGAGACTCAATGGATTAATTTGAATACAAGTTTTGATATTATATTTTAAAATATAAACTCGAGGTCGCTTGCACCGCTTTATTATTTTTTAACACACATTCTACTGTTTAAATTGCGCAACATATTTTTAGAGACGGAAGACAAAAAATTTTAATAAAAAATACACCTCCGTAGCTTTCGCGGTACGAAGTGTTAGATGTGCCGTTTTTTAAGATAAAAATTATATAGAATGCAGAACATTTCTGGGTAGTAAAAGAGTTTTGACTTTTTTGAGTTGTGCCACTATCAATGCCAAGCAACAATAATATTTTTAACTAAACGTTTTTTATATCTTTATTATAATATAATATCCTACTTAACTTTTTTCTTCATCCCAAAGCTATTACAAAGAGTTATTTTTAGAGACCTATTTTTTATCTTCCTTCTATTATACATTTGGCATTTTTTAATATTTGGGTAAAATAAGTGCATATATTTATTTTAAATAAAAAATATATGCGTATATTATAATTAAATTTTGGTGCATATATTCCGCCCTCTACTCACAAGAGATGAGAATAGTAAATTTATATCTTTTAAAACGGTAAAAGAATTTCTATTCTAGATAAACCACATAAATTGTACTCCAATTCAAGATTTAGCACTCTTGTTATATGTCGATACTTATACCACAGAGCTCATGGGACTGAAGATAAAACATTGCAAATAAAATCCTTAAAACTTTTCTCAACCGATCTTTATCACACATACATTCTATTTGAAATAATACAAGTAAAGTAGTATTATAAGAAATATATAACGTTTCTTAAAACGAATTGTTCCCTAACAGATTTTTCACTTATTGGATATTTTCCAAAAGCTTTCTTTATCGCTATCAGCACAGTGCAATAGTAAAAACGAATTCCATTAATCGATAAACACAAATAAATGGGTTTTTCGTCGATTGTAGAGTACATTAATCAGACCAGGGCTACTTACTTGCCAGCAGGCTCCGATCGTGAGTGTAGTGTTAATTCCTTTGGTCGGATGAAGCGGCCAATCGTCGATTACTTCGGGATTCTTTTTCTCCGCTCTGAATAATTGCCCGTCGATGTACAGCTGGATGTCTGGGAAACGGACGTTAATGGCGTAATGATGCCACTGGTCATCGCAAACCTGCAAACCAAACGATTATAAATAATAATTTTCTATGAGCATATAAAATAATCATGGTGTTAAATGCACCCTTAAGTTACAGTATATATATGTAGTTTACCTGTGAAATTTTCCATCTCCATTCGGCGGGTCTGAAAATGTTTAAATCACCTTCAGAGAAATCTCTCCTAAGCAGAAGAATCAACCTGCAGTTTCTTACGAACAGCGCATAATGATGTCTGTTCATTTCTAAAAGAAACAAATTTAAATTAACACTTAAAAAGGTCGTTTCATATTTTACTCACTATGATCATCAGCCGTACACAAAATATGCTCTTTCATATGCTTGTCTTGGTTCGGATGTTGGCCGTGCCTCATCCAAGTAGATAAGGTGAATGTGGTTGGTAAGTCGTGTCCCAATACTGTGGTAGGAATGGTAACTGCAGTAGTTGCTCCTAGAAGGCATAAAAATTATGTATTTGCTATTTCTAGTAAACGACTACAAATGAAACTAAAGGAAACATTTTAATACGTTCGCAAAAAGAATATTAATCCAAATAAGTTCACGAACGGTACTAGGTTGAACCCTTGTGAGAGCTTGAATAAGGCCTTATATTTGTGTCTACACTTTTCGTTCATTTAAATAGTATGTAAAACATCCTAGTGTGATTTTAAATATTTAATATAATATTTAGGTACTTATAACACTTTCTTTACCCTTAATATATTTACCGTACGACTGGGTATTTCGTTGAATTTGCAAAAAAGGAAAAAAATTAATAAAACTATAGCTAAATTGAAAGAACATTGCAAAACAAGATCCAGATCACGAAAAATGTATAAATGAAAATAAAAACCGATATGTTTGTATCTATTTTGTACGTGATATAACACCTAGTTATGCGCTACGTAACTTTCTTGAAATAAGTTATTTCAGAAAATGAAAATTCAGCCCGATATACTTTATCTCATTTTTATTTCATATCATTTCCTCAACCGTATAAGTCTTTCATAATAAAAAGAACAAAAGATTTTTCTCATATATGACGACATCGTTATACACATTTCATATAAGCTTCTTTCCACCGCTGCAAAATTTATATATTACTCCTGAATCCTCGAATCCTTTCTTGATCCGCTCCTTGTAGTAATTTACGCAGAGGCGTAGCCAGGATTTTATTTTTAAATCTGGGGGTAGTGTATTCTGCTAAACTTAAACCACTGTAATCTTTAATGAATAAAGAGTCAATTTATGTATGTAGTAAAAATGTAACTTCTAATATTTTACCAATAAAAAGCGGGGTCCAACAGGTCTCCGTTTTAGGACCTATACTTGTAATGTAAAATGTAAAAATAAAATTGTCAATATGTTTGTATCAATAATTGTTTTCTTTCTAAATTTAATTTAAAAATTATATCATGATGTAAAAACTGAAATTAAAATGAGAAAGAAGATAAAAAAATATTTACAGAATTATTTAAAATCATTTAGAATCAATTAGTCATCAATCATTTAGAATAAATCATTTAAAATGAATCATTTAGAATAAATCATTTAAAATAAATCATTTAGAATAAATCATTTAGAATAAATCATTTAGAATAAATCATTTAGAATAAATCATTTAAAATAAATCATTTAGATTAAATCTTTTAGAATAAATCATTAAGAAACAATCATTCAGAATAAATAATTTAGAATTAACTATTTAGAATCATTAGGAATAATTTAGAATCTTTACAATTAGTGTTTGGGTGTCACTGAGATTTTTACAGATTTTAATGTACATTTTATAGAAAACCATAACCAAGTAACCATGAAGTTTGTGTATTACTAATTAAAAGAATTGTAGGATGTTTAGTATAAAATTAGAATGTAAAATGTAATAAATATTAAAAGGGTGACATTTGAGTAAGAGACATTGCAACTTCATTCTCTAAGTAGGTTAAGCATTTATTAATACCTTCTCATGTACTCTAAATCTCCACAAGTCTAGCAAGGAAATATTCAGGTATTGCGGATTAAGAGACATCTTCTAGATAACTGGATTGGATACGTCCATGGCGTTATATATGAAAACTATTATGCCTTACCGTCAAACTCGAACATCTGATCGCTCTCATGACCCTCGTCTGAAATGAGTGGTTTCGTCCATTCAGCACCAACTCCCGGACTTGGTAGAAGATCGATGGCAGATGGCGAAGCACCGCACAACTTCCTTTGAGATTGAACGGAGTAAGTGTCTCTGTCGCATCCTTTGCCGATGTGTCTGCAACAACGTACATTGTTTATTAGTTTATGTTATGGAAATAAAGCGGATCGTTGATCTCTCAAAAGTGGTACGAAGTAGCAAATTAAGTTCCGTAGCAACTTCATGTTAACGAAGTTAACTATTGTTATACTGTCGTTCGATAAATAGGTTAATGTCGTTATTTAGAAATCTTATTTTTTTTTAGAAGTTTGTGAGTGCTGTAATCAAATGGAATTTCATGCAATTAATAGAAAATGTTTATAATTGCTATTAAGAGTGAAAAGTATTGGATTGCCCCTGAAGAAAAAAGGTAGCGGAGCGTGACAATTTATTGTAAGAGGCAAATAGATGTCGGCTCGAATTACTAGATTAATTCTACGATCACACGATATTACGGAATTCAAATTTTACGTTTATTTGACAGGCATCGCTAATACGATCAGCGAAACGTGTGTTATGTTTAACGTTGTGTTGCCTATTAAAAGATTAATTTATGATTAGCATATAAACATTTACGAGTATACCCAACTGATTTTTAAAATATTGAAAGGAAAAATTGTCGGAAAAAATCTTACTGATAGTAACATTACGATGTCTAACGTGTTTATGTAATATTCAGCTGTTAATCGCCCATCAATTTGCCTGCACATTCCAGGATCGTAGGACCGTTAACGCTTATCCACGCCCAAATATTTACGGAGAAGCGCCCATTTCTTAATAGTAGTTAGTACCCAACGTATATGTCTCTTCGAATTTTGAGTTTCTAGAACAATGAACTCGTAGCCTTCCGTAGTTGGAAAATTGGAACGTCGGATAATATCTCGTTGTTCCAAAATTCCTCCCCGTGAATTAAAAATTCATTTGCAAACTGGACTATCCTGCGTTCATTTTCTGCCAGTTAAAAATGTTTGCAGACAGCAGCACAATTTTTTAAGACAGCTTGTTTTAAACGCATTTGAGCTGTTCTGAGAGATCCTGGGTACAATGTTTCTTCTCGTGCTTTAACAGGGGTTCCAAAAGGATTTTGGAATATATATTCTACGAGAGCAATATCTTCATTTTCATTAGACCTTGTCTGAAAGATCTTCGCAATATTTGTTCTTCTGGCCAGCTTTTCTTAACGTATACAACTTTTACTGAAATTTCATTGTCTTTATTTTCATTAGAGACCTTCCCTATACCTTATCTGAAATGTCTTCGCAATCTTTGTTCTTCTTGTCAGCGTTTCTTAACTATGCAACTTTTACTGATATTTAATTTAACAGCTACTTCACTCAAATTAAAAGCAACTAAAAGTGATTAGATTGTATTTCGTGCAAAATTTATATTAAAATAACGAGTCAAAATCTCTTATAAGTGTTTTGAAATTAATATTTTATCACAAGGTAACGCCATGCTATTACAACTAATAAGCAAAAGGCATCCACTAATATCGGTTAGCATCATTTTTTCAATTCCAATAAATGATTATTTTATTTTAAAATGTATCTTTCTATTAGGCCTCATGATGGCCCTTATATCGAAATCTCCTCTTATTTATAAAAAAAAGTATTGGTTAATATTGTTCTCGAAAACAATGAAATCAATAAAAAAAAATGTACGATATGTAACTATAAGGATTCATATGAGTGTAAATTTAACACGCTTTGTAAAATATACGGTATATATCCTAATAGCAGACTGCTACGAATACCAATTTGGATCTAACGACAACTCCCAACGCCTAATTCTTATTAATTCCCGTTACTTTGCTTTTAAAAGGGTCGAAACACGGTCTGAGTTCACAGTTCGGAGAGGGTGTAATTAAACTTTAAACTTCATTGTTCAGTTTTGCAGACAGTGGATATGCACCGCCATCTACCTAAGGGCACGTAGTGTAAAACAATTAATTAACACTCGAGCGGAACTTTCTGAATATCTACATATAAATACTAAGTACCAGCGTATTAATGGAAATGTCTTGGTTTGGCCGGTTTATTGTTTAAAATAGATCAACAAAGTTGTAATCCCAAAGGTAATTTCAGTATTAGAAGCACATAGTTTTCATAATATAACAAATAAGAAAGTTTGCGCAGGCTTTACGTGCTAGGAATAAAAGCAGATAGAAAATCGATGCCGTTTTGGACTATTTATATCATGTGACCTACCAATTGACATATCTCTGTATTTTGAAATTTCAGTAAATTATAGCATTTGATTGGCCGCAATGTTATGTCAACTTTATTATTGTAGACCAATAATACTAAACTAAACAAAATACACTGTATAATCCGAGAATACCGATCAAGGAGAAGCGACAGCTTGGTGTTTTCAGTGTACCGTTTTGTAACGCGCATGTGCGAAAATAATTTGTGTATCACTCAAAATTATGTTATCTGTCAAAGTCAGTCCAAGTTGTGTTTAGTACGTGAGCAATATTAAGTGATATTTTTTGGTGTTTGTTTTGTGTAGTAATAAGATGAAGATTATTACACACTTAGGTATTCTAATACAGATATAAAATGTGCCAAAAAAGTTATTAGGAAACTAAGAATTTTATCACATGCATAAATATTAAGTATAATGATTTAATCATTTTTGACATTTTATTTTTCATATGTAGGTATTGTATTTTGTGAAATATATGTTTTTCTTCTTTTTAATAAATTTAATAAACAATGAACTGCAGATTTTGTTTATTTTATTTTGAAATTATATTTAAAAAAATATAATAAATCCGCGTGTTTCAATTAGGATTGGCCAAAGTGGGCGAAATCCCTTTATTATGGCTAAAATTACAATTATGTCAATATAAAGATTTTTGTCCATTCATATTTACATTTATTGAATGAATCATCCTGGAGTTGATTTTGAAAATATTGGTGCATATTTAAATAAGTACTATTTCTAAAAATTCGTCTATGCCCAGACAGCACACATAGTCCAATGGACGTCCACTTTAGATCTATTTGAGGGTCAGGACGTCCATATCCGGGCATCCAGTGTACGTCCGTTTATGCTAATTAAATTGACAGCTGAATATTGATACCCAGAGAACGTCTGCTTTTGGACTTAATTTTAAGTTAGTAGTATTTTGACGTTTAGTAGACATCCATCTTAGGTCATTGTTTATTAAGTCTACGCAGATAATACCCATCTATATATACTTCTTTTTTTTAATATTCATTAAAAATTGACAAATTGAATTTATTGCATTTAATTCTATCAGCGGAAGTTTGAAATCTTATTTAATTTTAACTGTATCTAGTAAAAAGTTTTCAAGTGGTTCCTTGGTCGAGCTCGTCTAGCGATTAAAAGCGTAAAACGATAATGGATGTGTCGTGAGTTCGATGCCTGCTCAGGTCAAGCGATTTTTAATAAAAAAAATAAATAAATGGTGCATAGCGGTTTGCGAAAATATTAAACAAATTATTAATAATATAAAATAGTGTGTGGTAAGTTGCGGTTCTGTAAAAAACGTTGGGATGTGATCTCAATGGAAATATAGTCCTGGACGTTTTTTGAATGTTCAGTATTCGACGTCCAAATATATTCCAGAATTGGACGTCCTCTGAATGGTCAAAAGTGTGCCATTTGTATACTTCACTGAACGTTTATTGGATGTCGGAAGTCCAGAAAAAACTCATTTTTGGACATCTAGACATCCAAAAATTGTATATCGAATGGACGTTCAATGGACATATTTGTATTGTCTGGGTGATAGCCAGGCCAGATATTTAACTCTAAATACATAAACCTTAAATGACATCTGGCTTAACTTGGCGAGAAAACACTTGTTTCTACAGAAATGAGTGATAAACTTGAAAGTCCTTTTAATATAATATAAATCCAGAAATTCTAAAAATATGTAAGTACTTTTTAAACCTAAAAGCTTTGAAAATATAAGCACATTGCAAATATTTAGTTAAATCTCTCAAACTTAATGTCTTTTTAATTGTTACCTAATTTTTTTTTGGCGCCCTTAATTTTATTTACCTTATTTTTACTTAGGGAAAAGGTAATTTAATTTAAATATGGGGCTTTTATTACATTTTTAACAATAAATAAACCAAATATTGAACAAATTTTATAGATAAATTATAAAATATTAAACGTCTTTTACTTTTATAACAAATAATTAATTATTACATAATTAATTATATTTTGGTGCCGAAATTTCACCATTGCTATTAACTCCAACTACTTCAATGTAATTAAATCACATTGCAACATTTACGCATGGACTATAACAATAATTTCAGATAATTTGCCAAACTATTTCGCTCAGTGTAGAAAATAAGCATGTTTTCTCAGCGTACTAAGTTGTGTATTAATCAAAGTCATGCTGTGAAAAAGGTACATCCGATATCAAAGGCACCGACAGCTACTGTCGCTTCTCCTTGATCGGTATTCTCGGGTATAATTGCTTGGATTGCCTTGTTTAACACGTAGACTGCCACCATAGGAATAAAAAATGTAACATTACGTGCCAACTATAGGTTTTGTCTTGAATCCATATAAGTGTATTCATAGGTTACAGAAATATTTGCTAAACCACTCTATTTTTGCAAAAAGTTATGGCACAGTATTAGTACCTCGAGGCACAGAGGGTTATAGTTGCCGCGAAGCAAGAGTACGGTGCCTCAATTAACAAGTTCGACGCATCTGGATATGTTATCAAGAGTATTGCATCCACGAAATTGGCGTGTCAGTCTGTCACTTGTTGTTAGTATGTGACTTGATGAACAGTTATGAAAAACAGCTGAGTTTGGACGTTTTGCTGTTTTAGCTTCTTCCTACAATCCGTAATGATAGCATTTATAGACTTCTTTGTATGGAAACTTTTTTGTCGTGTAACGTAGTATAATGTCGTTTCACATTACATTCTATAAGGGACTGATAGGACTTGCATATAAATAATGCACTGAAGTTTATTACTGTTGTTGGCGATTAAATAGTCTGATTCCCAACGATCATTATAAACTCGATGTTCGTTCGTCATTTTTTTTTTACTGTAAACACATATTTCACATAAAAAA